TCGATTGACGATGTATATTATAGTCTTTAAGTATATGGAGTGCATCAACTTGATGCACTGACCGTATCAACCTTCCGTACGAGCCTACCCATGATGGTTAGACTGAAATACTGGAATTCGGTGGGATTCGATCCCTGGATCTTCCGTATATCAACCAACCTCTGCAACCGATTAGACTATTCCAACTATAGAATATAAGCGCGAGATTGAAATGCACGAAATGCGAGCACTTTTTAAGCGTCATACATTTCAATTTCGGACACCCTGAGATTCGATCTCTGAACCTTCCGCGTCTCAGACAACCTCTGCAACCGATTAGACCATTCCAACTATAGGATGTGAGTGCGAAATTGAAATGCACGAAATACGAGCATCTTTCAACTTGAAAGTTTCAAGTGTCGTGCACTTCAATTTCGCACTCCGTGGGATTCGATCTCTGGACCTTCCGTAAACCTCTTCCGGTCGCGGTCCCATGGAAATCGACAACGCAGTTGCGAGTCTCTAAACCGTTCTTGCTCATTTCACATCAATTATCGACACCCCCGATGAACGCGCAGCGCGGTTTCCTGCGCGTTCATCGGGAACGTCCTTCCTCCCGCTTGTATACTTATGGGCCCATTATGGAACTCCTTGTCCAGTGAATATTTCGTATGTATTTCATGGAGTTTCACCCGTTATATGAACCACACTAATGAAGAACATGTTTCACATTTCATTTAACATTGCAATATTTTCACATGCAGTATTAGGCCACCTCAGTAAAACGGGTGAAACTCAAAACATATTATGAAAAAAGAGTAGTACAAATGAAAATGAAGATCGAGAAAGATGGGGGAAAGGGAGAGGAACGCGGTCGCTAGTGTTGCTGAAGAGCACGGCCAGGCGAGCAACATAGGAGGAATGGAGCCTTGTGTCCGTCGTGGCACCGGCAATAGGCCGGAAGGGGCAGCATCAGGGCATACAGCTGGTAGGGGTCCCAACCCACAGCGCTCTGCATCGGGGGGTCGGCAGAGAGCGAACCCGCAGCGAGGAGATAGTGACGGAAGGTTAGTTCCCATTGACGGGGCACCAAGGAGGGCGCCCGGACAACCCAGCCAGAGGAGGGCCGACTCTAGGGTAGCGAATCGCGATTCGCAACAGGTAGAAGGAGCTGGTTGGACACAAGTGGGTCGCAAAAACCGGGGCAGACAGAGGAAGCGCTCAGATGCCCCTCAGAGGGGTAGCCCCAAACGTCTGCTGGTCATCACCCTTTTCAGCAGGCTTCAGGGGATCCCACAGGGGAGAAGGTGGCCGAACCTTAACGACGAGGACTACAAGACCTGCCTCAAAAAGATGCAGGAAACGGCTCTCAGGGAGGAAGGAGCGCAATGGAAGATCCTTGGGATGTGGAGAACCTCGTTTGGGTTGGCCATTGAACTAGGCGATAGCGGGAGCCTCCAGGACATTCTCAGGGCCCCGCCACCAGGGCTGTCGGCAAAGGAGCTGGCCCAAAAGTCATGCGAGCTCTCCATTTCGGACATTCCGCTCGCTCTCGCCAGTGAGCAAGGCTTGAGGAGGGAGATCGTTAGAAGGAACGGGATTCCAGAGGAGGTCCCATGGGAAATTGTGAAAATATGCACGAAGAAAGATGCGCAAGGGGAGCCGAGTCGGCTCAGCCGACCAGTGCCACTGCCATCGTCAAAATGGAAGAGGCGATGGCCAATAGGTTCCTAGGGAAGGGAGGTACGAAAGACGCCCTGTACATCGGGGCCACCAGGGTGAGGGTTAGACCCCATTACTACACCAGGGTGTGTTTTGTCTGTGCTGGCAGGCACCCGGAAAGCGAGGGCTATGGGAACAGACCAGAGAGATGCGCGTGGTATGGTCAGGTTGGGCATCAACAGAGGGACTGCACACTGAGGAACCTGCCGGCATCGCAGAGGACCTGTGAACACTGCAAATGCAAAGGGCATGGCTCTATGGAATACATGAAATGTGACGCGGGAAGAGCTATTCGTGAGGCCGGCGTGCCGGCGAACGAGCTTGAACAACCGGGCAGGGCACCAGAGATAAATGTCCGAGCCTGATTCAGGGCAAGGGCGGGCAGGTGGCCCACAACTTGTGGGCCACAAGGGCCAGGCGAGCAGGGCTCTTCGAGGGGGATGATGAGGGTGGACTGCATAAACATAACGAGGTCACCAGGAGTCCTGGCAATCGCCGTGGAGGAGTTTCAGAGAGCGGGCGTGTTAGCGGTGCTTATATCGAGATGCTTATATGAGGTCACCTCCCAGTTCCTTCCTACTAACCTCACCTCTCCCAACAGCCAATCGACTGCCCTCTGCCGGAGTCTATCCCTTTCCAATAGCTTTCTGGACGCTAGATGATATCGTAGATGGGCTTGGAGGACCTGTCCAGTGCAATGACACACCCCGATAGTGTAGTAGAAACACCTACCACTGTGGCGTTATGCTGAGCCTCCCACCCTAGAACTTGGTCATCAGTAAGGCCTCGAATGACCCTTAGCCTATCCAGGGTCTCCTCCACCTTCTGGACCAGCTCTTGAGGAGGATAGAACTACAAACTACTATTATGGAACTATAATAGGGCCGGACATGGCTAATGTTAGGTATAATAGGGCCGGACATGTGCCACATCAGCTAGAATGGAGCCGGACAGAACTCATGTTGGTTAGAATGGAGCCGGACATGGTTCAAGTTAGTTAGAATGAAGCCGGACATGGCTAATGTTAGGTAGAATGAAGCCGGACATGTGATACATCAACTAGAATGGAGCCGGGCAGAACTCATGTTGGTTAGAATGGAGCCGGACATGGTTCAAGTTAGTTAGAATGGAGCCGGACATGGTTCAAGTTAGTTAGAATGGAGCCGGACATGGTTCAAGTTAGTTAGAATGGAGCCGGACATGGCTAATGTTAGATATAATAGGGCCGGACATGTGCCACATCAGCTAGAATGGAGCCGGACAGAACTCATGTTGGTTAGAATGGAGCCGGACATGGTTCAAGTTAGTTAGAATGGAGCCGGACATGACTAATGTTAGGCAGAATGAAGCCGGACATGTGCCACATCAGGTAGAATGGAGCCGGACAGAACTCATGTTGGTTAGAATGGAGCCGGACATGGTTCAAGTTAGTTAGAATGGAGCCGGACATGGCTAATGTTAGATATAATAGGGCCGGACATGTGCCACATCAGCTAGAATGGAGCCGGACAGAACTCATGTTGGTTAGAATGGAGCCGGACATGGTTCAAGTTAGTTAGAATGGAGCCGGACATGACTAATGTTAGGCAGAATGAAGCCGGACATGTGCCACATCAGGTAGAATGGAGCCGGACAGAACTCATGTTGGTTAGAATGGAGCCGGACATGGTTCAAGTTAGTTAGAATGGAGCCGGACATGGTTCAAGTTAGTTATAATGGAGCCGGACATGGCTAATGTTAGATATAATAGGGCCGGACATGTGCCACATCAGCTAGAATGGAGCCGGACAGAACTCATGTTGGTTAGAATGGAGCCGGACATGGTTCAAGTTAGTTAGAATGGAGCCGGACATGACTAATGTTAGGCAGAATGAAGCCGGACATGTGCCACATCAGGTAGAATGGAGCCGGACAGAACTCATGTTGGTTAGAATGGAGCCGGACATGGTTCAAGTTAGTTAGAATGGAGCCGGACATGGTTCAAGTTAGTTATAATGGAGCCGGACATGGCTAATGTTAGATATAATAGGGCCGGACATGTGCCACATCAGGTAGAATGGAGCCGGACAGAACTCATGTTGGTTAGAATGGAGCCGGACATGGTTCAAGTTAGTTAGAATGGAGCCGGACATGGTTCAAGTTAGTTATAATGGAGCCGGACATGGCTAATGTTAGGCAGAATGAAGCCGGACATGTGCCACATCAGCTAGAATGGAGCCGGACAGAACTCATGTTGGTTAGAATGGAGCCGGACATGGTTCAAGTTAGTTAGAATGGAGCCGGACATGGCTAATGTTAGGTAGCATGAAGCCGGACATGTGATACATCAGCTAGAATGGAGCCGGGCAGAACTCATGTTGGTTAGAATGGAGCCGGACATGGCTAGTGTTAGGTAAAATGAAGCCGGGCATGTGATACATCAGGTAGAATGGAGCCGGGCAGAACTCATGTTGGTTAGAATGAAGCCGGAAATGGTTCAAGTTAGTTAGAATGGAGCCGGACATGGCTAATGTTAGGTAGAATGAAGCCGGACATGTGATACATCAGCTAGAATGGAGCCGGGCAGAACTCATGTTGGTTAGAATGGAGCCGGACATGGCTAGTGTTAGGTAAAATGAAGCCGGGCATGTGATACATCAGGTAGAATGGAGCCGGGCAGAACTCATGTTGGTTAGAATGGAGCCGGACATGGTTCAAGTTAGTTAGAATGGAGCCGGACATGGCTAATGTTAGGTAGATGTTAGGTACTACTACCACTACTACTACTACTTCTCCTACTACCACTACTATTCCGACGAGGGATCCCCTACCTTTGTCCTTAGCTGCCTCTCGCAGTACCAAGTACCGTTACACCGTCCTACTGGGAGTTTTCAAGTTGCTAAAGTAACTTTAATGATCTCTTCAAGTCTATAGCAACATTAGTTCCAACAATGGTCTCAATACCGATCCCACCTTGGAACTCCCAGAGTGACATTCTTGCTACCAACACTGGCGAAATGGAAAGTGTTCGAAGTCATCTGGGTGGCGGGCTCTCCAATACTCTGCGCCGCGATGGTGCCAACACTCTCCCCAGCAGCAATTAGGGACTTCTCGAATCTTTGCTCCACCTGATCATAAGGTCACCTCCCAGTTCCTCCCTACTAACCTCACCTCTCCCAACAGCCAATCGACTGCCCTCTGCCGGAGTCTATCCCTTCCCAATAGCTTTCTGGACGCTAGATGGTATCGTAGATGGGCTTGGAGGACCTGCTACGAGCCTACAAACAACAGCCATCCAGCCCCGACCTCAGACGTATACAAGTGCCTACGAATGTGCCCACATCACTGCTGTGTTGAACCCTATTGTATTGTCTCATGTAGCACTTAGTGACACCGGGTATACCTTACCAACAACAGCAGTGTAGACAACGACAAGGGAAGTGATTACTATGTACCCTCTAGAGTAAGGTCCGAGAGTAGAGCGCCTTCCATCCTTTTGAACAGACGAAAATCCTCCCCCCCCATCATAAACTGCCACCACACCTCATACTCCTACAAAGTACCAACTTACCCTCATCCTCCTCATCATCCTTCATCTCAGGAGACCCGTCCTCCGCGGTCTATTGTAAACACGATCGTTGTAGAGTAGCAGTGATAGTGACAGTACCTCAGTATCGCGGAGTAGCCTAATACGTACTATCAGATTCTCGCTGTTATCATCAGATACGATGCATTGGACATCCCCGCCGTAGCCTTCAACCTGAACAGCGTTGAGGAAATCCAAGATTGATCAAGATGAGCAAGTAACCATCTTATTATCTTCTGACCAACGGGTCGAGTCGAGAGTTTTCTATCAATCATCACGGAGTTTGATACGAAGTATCCACGGGCTGCATCGTGAGGAGTCGAAATCGTCCTCTGGCAACTCGTAATATCTAAAAACGACCAAGTTGAGATGGGAAGGCCGATGACCATAAACCTACTCCTCCTCCTCCACCAGCTGCCTGTCTTCCTCCAGAATAGATGTGCGAACATCTGGATGAAATAGGATCTGGGTATACGACGTGATTTTCCCCAGACACACCATTGGTATCGTCGATCATATACTCAAACCACAGTTATTTCGGGGGATTCTTCTTGGTTTCTGTACACTTCTACCGCAAATTATTTTACCGGGAAACGAGAACATTTCTTAAGTTGGAATATGTGTTCTCGTTCCCCTTAACTGATGGAGTTTCCAACACTGATTAAATAACAACAATAATTCATATTCAACTCATAGCCTCAGTGTCACTGTAAATGACTCACTGAGTTAGTGAGAACACCCCCAACCTGATTCGTATCATAGAAATTTGCATCCCATGGCTCACTATGACGGCATGAAGAATGCCGGAGAGTCCCACCGCTGCTGTTGCCGCCGCCCATAGCTCACCTCGGAGACATGCGGACAGCATCATCATCGTCTACTAGGAGGTGATGCGGGTACAATACTATCCACCTAACAACAGCGGATAACATGCGTTGACCATCGTAATTGTCTTCCATTTATATAGACATTCATCATTAAAGGATAACATCTGTGCACGCGTGCAACCGGATTGATACAAGAGACTAAATCCTGGCCGTATTGCAGGTATTGGCAGACGCCTAGCTTCTGCTGCTTCGGCCCGGGTGCCTCATGCAGACGAGACCATTGGAGATGATCGAAGCGAGTCGGACAATGTTACTGAAGCGACGGCCGTTTCCACTATGGCGATCATCTTGTTACTTCAGGTGAGATTACTCCCGTAGCCACAAAAACTACTACCGGCTCTGAGTCACAGTAGTACAGTGAATGTACTCATCTACTATAATAAAAACACTCTACGTTAGAAACCAAATCCATTCCTCTCGCTAAACCTAAGCGGACTCATACCACACCTCCACGACAGACAATTTGTGAAGTCCCCAGCAATCACAAAATACGATCGTTTACGACCCAGGATACCAAAGCGGATCGAGCATGGGGAAGATGCAACCTGACAACGCAAACCGTTTGGCGTGAAAACACTAACCACATGCTGTCGATATTCAATGCTGAATGTAATGGACTTGAATCATTAGCAGAATGACGATGAAAAAAAAATATACAAGTGAATTCATAACTAACCACCGAAGCCATAGAGAGTCTTGCCTTGCCTCTTCAACGCATACACCACATCAAGGGCCGTAACCGTCTTCCTCCTAGCATGCTCAGTGTATGTAACCGTATCCTTGATAACGCTCTCGAGAAAGACCTTCAGGATGCCTCGAGTCTCCTCGTAGATGAGGCCAGATATGCGCTTCACTCCACCACGACGTGCCAGTCTTCGAATTGCCGGCTTGGTGATACCCTGGATGTTATCACGCAGAACCTTACGATGACGCTTCGCTCCGCCTTTGCCAAGACCCTTACCTCCTTTACCGCGGCCGGACATGTGATACTTTACTGAACAACAGGACCTGGGTTCAATCCCAACGCAATGCATTTTCACCGCATCAAGAGCGTGCTAAATACTGGGCGTAGCGACACAAGGACATAATTGATATAAATCACATGATCCACAACTTATCTCCTGATCCATGTTCATCTACTTTACCATTCCAGCCGGTACACTTTGCCATAAGTCCGCTCGACGCCATTTCTTCCACGAGTAGGGTCTCGCATCCGTTCGATACCGTTCCCCAATGGGGAATCCCCATAGATAGTATAAAACGCGACTGCTAGAAAGACGCCCAAGACGGTTGACAGAATCATCCGGATATATTGACGAACACTGACGATTCAACAGTGTTGTGATCAGTCATTGAACTAACACAATATAATCGTAATTGCCTAGACCGAGATCCCCTTCTAGCATCCACCCCACACATCAGGTTTCCGATCAATAATAATATTCCCGAACACTGAGACACGCTACTGATGCATTTGTTAGCTATCCATCATACACATATCCCATAACGGTCCCGTATACCACAAGAAAGCTGACATTCTTCCAATGACAGAAATATTGTCCTTTTATCCCAAAAAGACATGGTAGATTCCTAAGTCTGACCCCAACTATACACTATCAATATTATAGACAAGTTCAACACCTGACGTGCGCATCTACTAAATTCATCACATGCGAGTAGGGTATCTCACCCGTTCTATACCGTCCCCCGTCAACCATATGAAATTCGATTGCTACAAAGATGGTTAATAGAGTCACCCGGATATATTAACGAACACTAACAACTCGACAATACACATAATGTGTGAGGAAGAAAAGAGCTCAGTCAATGAACAATTGAGTTTACACAGTGTAAATTACACTGTCCTTTTGCAGAATCGTCATGTACTATAAAATTCGTAGTAGAAATTATACATATTGCTCTGCAAAGTCACACACCTTGAAACTCAGCGCACGCCAAACTATATTTGGCATTTTGCGTTGTGTAAACAAATATCTCGCGGATTTCTCAACCAGCTGTGTGTGTGATCAGTTCGGGTTGGACACAGATTCACACAGTGTCATTGATTTTATATTGCATGGGCGAGACAATTACTGTCATGTTGTATAACAATTGACATCTATCTAGATCAAACACCATAACATCACGTGATGCTGACAGAAGGCCTCTCCTCTCTTTCCATTGATACGAGCGATAACCTCGTAGAAATCCATACGAACCATCTCTATATCGGGACTTCTCCAATATCCAACGGAATCGAGGTTACTATCATGCTGTGTAACAGCTGATCAATCACGAACACGTATCTTCTCACCTTGGACAATTGCGCACCGACTCGCAAAGTCACACTCCATTAAACTTAGCGCCCGCCCAGATAAGCACACGTGAATTTTTGTGCTGCAAAGTTTGGTGAAGTGCACCCAACCTGGTAACCGTATCTGGTGCTACATTGGATATTCCCAACATATTATGGGTTATGGTGTTAAGGATATTGGGTGAATTGATCCATGTTTGCAAATGGTATGGTACGAGTATCTTTGATGTGGTCGGGACCGTGACATCAGACGCGTTTGAGGGAAGCTCTAGATGTTCCCTTCACTTGCAAAGTAACATTGATGAGACAATCGTAATCGAGTCGTTTTAGGAGCTCATTGGCGGGGGGCCGAACAGCACTACATAAAAACATTTCTGTCGAGCCAAGATGAGGTTGTCAGCTGTTACGCAGTATGATAGTGGCCTCCATATTGTCAAGTATTATAGTAACATCAGTTTCTAAGGATAGACGACTCGTATGAGGTTGTCAGCTGTTAGCAACATGATAGTCGCCTCGATATTGTTAAGTATTATAGTAACACCAGTACCTAGAGATAGATGTCTCGTATTAGGTCGTCAGCTGTTACGCAGCATGATAGCACGGACAAGTGAGGCGAGGCAGTCCTGACAGCCTTCACTTCTGATATGTCCCATTATGGGACTCCCATAAAGTTGCACGCATAGTCCATAAGTCCAGAAAGTCATAACGTACAATTCGATTGAAATCAGTTCTCACTGGATCGTCTGCAAAGGAGGTCGAACATGACCAGCACCTGAGGGGGGTACCGGGTTCGATCCCTGCATGTTGCATTTTTCCCGTCTCGGTTTGCTGTTGCAACGAATTTTGCATAGAAAACTTCATCATCATCATGATACCGCAAAGTCAAGACTGAATTCGTGAGAACCTTTAAAAGTACTTCTACAGTGCGCACCGATTCAATATGCAAGTGTAGAAAAATGGGCGTTAGCCACCGAGATTAATGAGAATCGATATCACATAAACGCCCAACGATCACGCATTTCCAGAAGGTAACGTGATGATCTCAAAAAGCATCTTCACGTACGAATAAATACGATCATCATTTCAGTGAGTGCAATACTAAGTTTCACTATGGGAACACGTAAATAATGGAGTTTCGTTCGTCTCACGTGAAGTGGCGTAATTCTCTGTGGAAGACTCGATATTCGCGGTGCTTTGCAGTAGTCGTGAAATATATTCCTCACCAGTGTTTTTCATATCACGAATGGTTACCAATACGCAATGATTACTATGCGTGACAAGACTACGAAGGAAGATACCTGATAATTTGATAAGTCATAAATTGTCGATGGAGCTCCAGCAGTCGGCCCCAAAGGGCCAATAGAGGTATAAGGAACTGCTGACTCCGCTGCGGAGCGATACCTGAAGTGGGCGAAATAGTCCGGAAACGGAATATCCAGCTCAGCGATTACCCTTCGAAAACGATCCTCACCAAGCAATTTTGACAACTCGACAACTGTGAAGGATTTTTCGAATGCATTATACACAAGTTACCTCGTGTCGTTACACAAGAACATCCATTTGTCCCAGCGTCAGCTCCGTCCACACCGGTGACGTGTGTCTCCTTCACGATGTTAAGGGCCTCCTCAAAGGAACTCAAGTACTGCCGTGTCCTTAGAATATCCTCGAGCCGTTGAGAATTAGTCCTCAGACTGGTGTGCATGAAAAATAGATAATCCTACCACGCGAAGTGGGGATCATCATCAAACTGGTGTACATATACATAGATAATCCTACCACGCGAAGTGGGGATCATCATCAAACTGGTGTACATATACATAGATAATCCTACCACGCGAAGTGGGGATCATCATCGAATTGATGTACATATATAGATAATCCTACCACGCGAAGTGGGGATCATCATCAAACTGGTGTACATATACATAGATAATCCTACCACGCGAAGTGGGGATCATCATCGAATTTATGTGCATATATAGATAATCCTACCACGCGAAGTGGGGATCATCATCAAACTGGTGTACATATACATGGATAATCCTACCACGCGCAGTGGTAATCATCATCGAATTGAGTACATATATAGATAAGCATACCACGCGAAGTGGGGATCATCATCAAACTGGTGTGCATATACATAGATAATCCTACCACGCGAAGTGGGGATCATCATCGAATTGATGTACATAGATAGATTCCATGTGATTCGATACCGACCTGAATAGTGGCTTCTTTTTTAGGAGGACAGAAAAGAGTGGTTTGAATTAATACCAATTTTCCAGTAGTGCTTTTTGTTGAAGTAGGAATATATGTAATCGCTTTCCTCAGCTCAGCTCAGGAGTTTCCTATACAATGTTGGAGTAGGAATAAATGTAGTCGCCCGTTTTACGCGGAGTGGCGTAATACTCCATCCGAAAAACGTGATATTCGCGATGTGAAGTGAATTGAAAACACTTCGCGAATTACACCGGACAAATCATCACATTTTACGTAAAACACTCCCGGCATTTCGCGATAAACGCGAAAAACTCCGAGTAACCAGCGTTTTACACCATGCATTTCAAAAGGGAGATTGTGACTTTCGTGAAACTATTCGCGATTTGGAGACGTGAAAAGAGGCATATAAAATGAATTTCACTCCCCGATGTGTTCGCGAAATTCACATGGAGTAAATCGCAATATGCACCGACTAGGGTGGAAACACCAGTGAAAAACACTTCACCTTCATTTTTCGCGGAATAACGCGTAATTCGCCAGAAAATACGCGTTTTTCGCGTTTTACACGGGAAAAAACGCGAAAAACACCGCATCTCGCAGTAAAATCCATTAAAAGTCCTCTTTATGCCACTGCCAGCTGTCCACCCACATTTCACTCTATGGAGTCACCTCACTCGCGGGATCCGTCTTACTACTGGCACTTCCACGTTGGGGCCTCGTGGGATGAT